CAGCAGATGTCAGCGACAGTCAGACACCCACAGGCTAGATTCAGGTTGCAGACAAAATTCAGGCAAAATTCAGACAAGAGAACTACAAGTCTTAATCTGTTGCCGCCAGACTGCCTGACATCCCCTTCATAGTTCCATTGCGGCTTCATTGCTGCCCGGCTACTCTTTAACGACGGAGGTGCTCATACCAGGCTTTCCGCCAGGGCTAGGGAGGGGGGGGGGGAATGGATCTGCAAACTCTTGGGCCGGTCTCAACGGTTCCTTGGGGTCCACCACAGTCCACTCATGAAAGTGTAGGCGATAGTCTCTAGCTATCTTTGTCTCCTGTGGGTGGTCTCCTTCCCCCTCTGACTCCTGTCGCTGACCTGGATTCTCTTCCGACCATCTTACCTCCGCCACCCAGCCCCCTCGTCTCCCTCCTAACCATTCCTCGCAGAATTTGGAGATTATCCTGTCAATGTCCCTTCTAGTGCAGGCCAGGTCCAAATGTTCTTTGGTGTCTTTCCATTGAGTTGCAATTTCGTTCTGTATCAGGTGCCGAAACTGTTCTGTGGCTTCCCCTTCCTCCACCCTGGCACCCTCCATCTCCAGGACACATCTCCTCGACCAAATCACCCACAGGATGGCTCGTTTTCCCAAGGAGAACATGTTTCCCTCGAAGGCACTTTCCTGGCCCCCAGGGCGGTATCCAAGCAGAATGGCTCTCCAATCCCATGGCCATGATGAGTTGGGGACCATGTGCCTCCAGATCCTATCCCACCACCGCCATAAGAGTACGGACGAGGGGCACTGCAAAAATATGTGCTCCACTGTTTCGGCGCGCTTTTGTGCAGGGAAGCTTTGGAGACACTGCCGGCACCATGGCAGTGCCCGCCCTTGCTGTTCCAGCTGTTTGTGGTCGATTAGCCAGTCGTTTGTTGGTAGGCATCGATGTGCAATCTGCCATTGTAAGGAGGATATTTTAGCCGGTCTCAGCTTGTAGTCCCTGAACCACTTTATAGGCCGCAATTGTCTGGTGTCCACATTGAGATGGCGCTGCCACCTATCTTCCACCACATCTCGGAGTTTCCGTTTGGGTCTCAACATCCGATAGGCCGTTTTTGTCTTTGAAGTGGCCAGCTGTACCGGTTTTTGCCTTCCCCATGCCCTGGGGGCGGCTTGACTTGTTCTGACCCACCGCCACTCCTCGAGGTCAAAGGGGAGATTTTCAATTCGGGACATGGGTCTGTATACTCGCCATCCTTTCCCTTCGTCCAATACTCTGATCCGATATACGTCCTTCCCTCGCCAGGTAAATGGTTGTCTACTACCCCTTAACTAATTATTTCTGTCAATGAAGTAATGCTCAATCAACACATCCTCCCGCCCCACCCTTTGTACCGTCCCCACCTGCTCCCATTGTCCTGGGAGTCCCACCCAATCTCCTTCCTCCAGATGCGGGCCCCTCCGTAGGATGGTGTACCATGCTAGTGGGAAACTTTATATTAGCACTTCTAGTGCGGATTCCGTCAGGTGACAGTATCGCAGCCATTTCCGTAACCTTTCCGCACTCTTCCAGTTTCTATCTTCTGTGTCCCAGAGGTCCCCCACCCTTAAGGCCCCATGCTTCACCCATCCCTTCCATGGAGGATCTGAGCTGCGTCGCACTTGGCCGAGGTGATCTGTGATCCATCTGTTACCGAACAAGGGTTGTCTCCCTTGTCCACTTTTTTTCTTATCAGATCCGATGAACGGAACTGCAGATGCCAGATGGCACACAGATGAGTTGAAGAGGCTCTGTTATTCTGGAAGGTGTAAATGTGGTTCCTCTCTCTCTCTCTCTCTCTCTCTCTCTCTCTCTCTCTCTCTCGGCTCAATCTGTGAGATGGACGAAAAAAATGAGACGAGGTGATGCATTTTCTTGTCGGGAAGGGGTGGAGTGTGAGCTGGAAATGGTGGTGAAAATATGGCAGGCGGAAAACACGGGCATGCAGTATAACAGTGTTCTTCTCTGGAAGGAACAACAGCGGTAGTGAAAGTCGTGATAACACTGGAGGCCAGAGAGATGAAGACCAGGTAAGCGCAGCGTAGAAATTGCAACAAGTTATCATATGAGCAAATTAAGAGAGTTACAGTCACAAACGCTCAACAGCACAGATTTGAGTAAGCAGTATCCAGTATCATCACTCAGGTAAGTGTCTCGCCCACTGCTCTTCTCTCTTCTCTCTTCTCTCTTCTCTCTTCTCTCTTCTCTCTGTTGACTACCTTCCTGTGTCCACTCTCCCTACTTGCATGCACTCACACTCTCTGCTACTCACGGACCAACTCCTCTGAACAGACCCACTGCTAACTCTACTAACTCTTCTGAGGTCTAGTGCTAACTACTAAGCACTGGCGCAGCTATGGCTGCCTTCCCTCTGCCAGCAGTGGGGAAGCTATGGCTGCCTTCCCTCCGTCAGCAGTGGGGAAGCTATGGCTGCTCCCTCTCTCTCCCTCTAACACCGCAGCTCCCTGGCCCAGTGCTCCACCCCTCCCAATAGCGCACAAGTGCACCAGCACTTCCACACTTCATGCGAATGAGCAATCTCCCCGATGGGCCCGCTGTCCAGTCCTTATATTGTCTTGGACTGATCTTCAACTCATCCCAGCCTCTGCTTCTTGGGGCTTGACTTGGTTCTGGACCTCTGGTACCACATCCCCACGGGACCCCACGGCCTGCTTGCTCCAGAATGTCAAGTCCTGGCACTTTTCCCGAATTTCCATTTTGGTGTGCTGCTGCTTGGGCCTGTGAGTCAAAGCAGCCTGTGAGTCACGACTTTTCACTTGTGGAACACGACTTCTGACTGTGGGTTGGCAGGGACACCACTTTTGTCTGGGGAAGTGTCCTTTGCCCGTGGGATGTGACTTTTCGATATGAGACGTGACTTTTGCTTTTAGAACGCAACTTTTGCCCCTGGGATGTGACTGTTCACCGGGTGCCGGTTGGACTTTACTCCTAAGGTACCCGACTTTGACTTTTCTGAAACTGACCGACTTGGCCTTCCTGGCCTAAGACCTTGCCCCTTAAATTCGAATCTGGGGTCTGAATCGTGGAAGGCCTTTCATTTTCCGTTTCCGTTTCCGTTTCCGTTTTCCGTTTCCATTTCCGTTTCCGTTTCCGTTTCCGTTTCCGTTTCCGTTTCCGTTTCCGTTTCCGTTTCCGTTTCCCTTTCCGTCTCCGTCTCCGTTTCCGTTCCCTTTACTCCCACTTCTTCAATTGCTCCCTTGGGACTAACCTCCCTCTCACGTCCGCAAGCCCGCCTGAAAGGTTGTGGCATGGGACCGGCAGGAAAGTTCCGCTATGGTCCCATAGGGAATGAGAAATGCTGCGGTACCACCTCCGGCAACACGAGAAGCCCGAGGGAGAAAGCGTGGGCAGAGCAGCTAAGGAGCTCATTGAGGCTGATGAGAACAGTTGCACATGGAGGTAAACATGACTGCGGAATGTTAACAGGGGAGACCAAGGGCAGAGAAATAATGGCCATCTTCTGGGGGCATTGGCTGGCCCTATGGGGGTATCGTAGCAACAATCAATGGCCTTTGACTCAAACGGAAGAACTGGTATAACTTTGGAATGCCCTATTCAAATTTCAAACAGAGTTACATCAGTGAGAAGGGTCCAATGGGATCTGGATGCAACCGGAGCGAGTGAGCGAAGCCATCAGGGCTACAGCCAGAAAACGGACGTAGGCTCAGGTGGTACATGCATGGCCTGTTGAAAATTGAAATACAAACCTGAGTTGGGATCCAGATGGAACTGGATGAATGCAAAAAAGAATGAATTTGGAAAAAAAAAAGAAGAAAAAAGGGCAGAATGAATGAATGAATTACCTGTGGGGCACGGTCAGCTTGACAATGATATCTTGAGACCGTCGTGGGGCCTTTTTTGTTAAACCGCCAGTACACGCCCCCAGGCAGCCTTGCTGAAAAGAAAACTCGTCGCGTAGGAAAAATTTTCGGAGGCCCTGCGCCGTAGATAAATCGAATCGGCGGCGGGCGGCCTCCGAAAAGGGCCCGGGGCCGATAGCTGGATGTACTGATGGTTTAAATTTTAAAGAAGAAGATGTCTAGCCAGTTCAAGATCAGCCTTGGGAACTCCACATTGCCAGTATAGCAGAGGCAGTCCAAGTAACGGGACGGAGAGGAAGTAAGGAGTAGAATAGTTAATTAAACGGTCAGAGACACGTTCCCGGTCGTGTAGAAATTTGTTTGCCGCCTACTGCAAAAATTTTGCGGCTCGGGCCTAACGAACCACTACGGGTGGCAGCGCCAGCCAAAAAAGAATAGAAAGGGCGTTGCTGGCGGTTTGGAAAAGCTTGGTGCGCAGCACACAGCCCCTCCAGGCCCGGGTGTACTGGTGGTTTTCCACCAGCCTGCCAGCCAATCCTCCGTCACAGAGTAAGCAGTGCTTCTCAGGCTGTCCTTGGCCTCAGAGGAAGGAGACACTTGGTCTTTAACTAGCAGTACAGGCAGGCCATACATCGGCCACGGGCATCCCATCATGACTTTCGGAGGCCGGAAATGCGACAAAGGCCATTGATGAAATCACGAATTTTATCAACGCCGGTCAAGGATACCGAGAAGATTAGTATGGCCCCTGCGCGCAAGGATGACACACATAAATAGGGTTCTTCTTCTTCTTCTTCTTCTTTTTCTATTTTGTCTATTTTGTCTATTTTTTTCTATTTTTTCTATTTTTTTCTATTTTTTCTATTTTTTTCTATTTTTTCTATTTTTCTATTTTTTCTTTTTTTTCTTTTTTTTCTTTTTTTTTCTTTTTTTTCTTTTTTTTCTTTTTTTTTCTTTTTTTTTCTTTTTTTTTTCTTTTTAAAGCATTGCTGCTGTGCTTCGCTCTGTTCTTGATCGTGTCGGTATTCGTGCATGGATGGTAGGTTGTGTACGGGTTGGTTATGGTGAGATGCTGCTGTGCTTACGTGCTGGCGGTTTTGATAGCTTGTAATCTGTGTCTCTTTTGTCTGCAGCCAGGAGTTCCGCAATGTATTGCAACCTGTGCTGGACACGCTTCTTGAGGGTATGTTGGAAGAGATGCTGGATGCATTCGGCGACAACCAAGATGTAGGCGTCCCCTTGGCCAAGCTTCTTCCTCCCTTGGCATACACAGGAATGGCGTTGCTGGAACACCCGGAGGAAAATGTGTACGTTAACATGCTCGGTATTCTTCAACCTGTGCAGGCATTTTGTGCCATGGTCTATAGCAGCTCTGCAATAAGCTAGGTAATGTCTGTCTCTGTGTGTGTAACGGAAAATCGACCCATTTCGATGGTAGGTTGGCCGCTCCATCTCTCTCTTTCCCCTTGTGATTGGCTACCGTGCCATGCCAAAGAGCGTTGTTCGTTGTTGCAGTTCCTTGTCTTGGCGGGAGTCGAATAGACTCAATTCTTTCGGTCCTGATCCGCAGGGGACCTACGCTCTGTCCCGACCGGTTAGAATCAGATGTAACATTCAGCATAGGCACATGAACATAATTTGTTCGACGATCCTTTAAAGTATCCCAACAAACGGACTGAGGCGGAGCGAAGAGAAGAGAATTTTGAATTGAAAATGCAGATTCTACTACACCTTTCAAATCTCCGTTTGTTGAAGAGTCGCACAGCCGTATCACCGCATGTGCTCCGTGTAGTTTTAGCTCATTTGATGCGCAGCATATGAAGCCTTGGCTTTTGGTCTGGTATACATGTCCGCTGTCTGGGGGGTGGATCAGTCCTTTTTCGAAAGGCATCTCACTCCCTGCGACTCGACAATTGCATGCTATGATGCTACCTTTCCTTCTGTCAAAGATCCTGGAAGCGCTTGGATCGGCAATCGTGCGCTTGCAGCACTATGCGGTCAGGGTAGCGGCTCGCCACCGTCCTGATGTCGTTCGGATAGCAATGATCTATCTAATTTACTGTCGACTGTCTGAGCGGAGGCTTCAGCAGCCAGAGCATGTTGAATTGCAGGCTTTAGAGAACTTGAGGTTCGGATCCGTTAGATGCATTAGACGGTTTCGTGCGGTCGTTAGTGGAGACGATTACAAGGCCGAGGAATGTAGGTGACGTCTTCTTTCATCCGTTTGCTTGTGGACGGTCTTGCCTGTGTCGCGAAGGACAGCTTGTTGCAAAAGGCGATGTTCATCTTGCCTCAGCAAAATCGCTGCCAATCAAGATGACAGGCTCAAGTCAGAACGACACGGAGGAAGCTATAATGGGCGCCCACCCCTTAGCTTCACGGGATGTTCGGAAGTACTAGGAACATGGGAGCTCACCCCTGTGCTGTACTCGCTACCAAATGACCTCCATTCCCATGCTTCATGCATGGTGCGCAGTACAGCACATGAGCGGACTGTACGGAATATGCTTTGGTCTGATTTGAATCCCATGTGCTGGAACGGATTCACGTCTTTCAGAATCAGTAGAAGTAACGATGGCCCCTGGACGAGAACGAGTGTGTCAAACTGTATGGGAGAGGGTAGGAGGTGATGGCGGTGGTATGGGTCAATTTTTTCTAGAATCTAACTTAGTTAAAAATGACCCCCGCGGAAGGATGACTGCTAAAAGCGGTATGGGAGACTTAGGGAGGTGATGATCGCTTGCCTGCCACGATCCCTCTCAGGCGGAAGAGATGGTGGTG